TTCCTCTTCTCCATCATGCATGGAACACTTGGTGCCTCAGTTTAACCTTTGTTGCCTGCAATTCCAGATTGGATTGGTCCTGTTCCCTTCCTGCTGTGGCCTAAGGGATGGATGAAAGGAAGATTTCACAGAATCCTCTAGGCTGGAAAAGAGCTCTGAGGTCATGGAGCCCAGCCTTTGGCTGATGTGTGATCCTGGATCTTGGATCCCCCCTTTAAGTCCAAATCGTGATGGTGGTAAAGGTGGGAGGTCACAAATCCAAGTCTTTGTTTTCCCTCTGCTCTTAGTGCATTTCACAGCTCGTTCTGGGCTAGAACAAGGAAAGCTCATGCCAGGCCTCGGGGTTTGGGTGAGTGTTGCTCCTGCTGGAGAAGCCCAAAGCAGGAGTTTGGGAGCTCTGCCTCTCCAGACACGTCCTGTCACTCCTGCTTGGAGCTGCAGCTGCAGAGCCACTCCAGGATGGGGTAACCTGTGTGTCCCTGTCCCCATCCACCTCCCAGTTACCTCTGCCTCTCCTGTCTGCTTCAGAGCTGTCCTCTCCCCTAGGTACACCAGTTTTATTTCCATGCACTGAAACCCTGAGCTCACGAGATGTTGTGTGCAGCTCCAGCTCTCACAATACCCAACTGACTTAACCTGCATTTCCACCCTTTTGGGGTTTTATTGCTGGACATCCAGAGTGAGGTCACAGCAGTTTCCTCTCCCTTCTTTGGAGATTTCCTTTATCCAGGAAGCAAACATTCACTGCTGGAAGGGAGTGATCCCTGTGTGAGCCTGGCAGGGGTGTGGAGACGATGGTGAGGAATGACAGGAACAGCAAACAAAATGTCCCTCACTTGGCTGCACCAGTCACTGCCCCAGCTGGGAAATCTGGGATCACTGTTGAGAGGGAAAATCCGAAATCAGTCTCTAATTACTGCTCATGGCCTGGCTGTTAATTGGAGCTGCACTGAACCCCAGCGTGGTGGAGCCAACTGAACCTCTGGTGCATTGAGCCACGGTGAGATACTGATTTTGGGGTGACTCAGAGGGGCTCCCACTGCCCCAGCCCCCTCAGAATTCCAGCCACACACACTTCCCTGCCCAGCCATCCACGGCCCATTCCCAGAGCCCATCTGAGCGTGGCTATAAATACACACCCAGATCATCCATCGACATTTAAATATAATACACTGCCAGAGAGAGGGGTTTTAAATATCTGAAGGATGTGGTATCTTGGAAACCGATTGCCTCGAGTTGCCCAAATCAATTACAGAGTGAATCAACACATGGCTCCGGCGTGGGAGCAGCGAGCAGCTGGCACTGCCACCCGTCCCTGTCCCCATCTCTGTCCCCATCCCTGTCCCCGGGCTGGGAGCACGGCAGGGAATGGCTCCGGGAGCCCCAGCTGCTCCTGCTCCCCCAGGACAGGGCACATCAGGGCACTCAACGGTTTCATGTCTTATCTCAGCTTCTTCAGCTGAATTAAAGAGAGGAAAACCGATGGAAAACAATCTGCAAAGGTGATAGGAGTCTTTATCTGGGAATGTTAGCACAAATTCAGTTTTACTGCTAATTGCTGACATTGTTTTGTCAGTATTTTCTACCTGTCTTCAGGCCATCAGCAGCACTCTGAAAATTGTGAGTCCTGGTTCTTGCTGAGGACACAGGTCAGAGCCAGCTCCCAGCCCCCCATGGCAGCAAGAAATGACATTTTCAGTCACACACTCCAGGGTTTTGTATGAAAAAAAATCAGATTATTTAGTATTTTAAAGAACGGAAACCCAGAAAATCAGATATTTCTGAAGTGTGGTTGTAGAACATGTAAAAATGTATCCATCCTTTTCCTATGGCCCAGATTAGGCAAAAGACACATTCCAGCAGGATTTTTCCCAAAAAGGGCTAAACCAGGGAGCCTGTGCCAGCGTTACTGGGCTGAGATCAGACCCTGCTGCTTGGCTGTGCAGGTGTCTCGTGAGGAGCCCACGATCTCATCCCCACACACGAGCTGAGCACCTTCAGCTGCTTCATTCCCCCCTGATCAGTTTTGATTCCCTGGCCAAGCTCTGTAAAAAAGCCTGAAATTTTAAAAAATGGTCCAAAAATGGGATGATGTAGCCGGTAGAGTGTGGGTTGCTGAGAGAAGGCTGAGCTAAATATTTGGCAGAATTAAGCAAACCAGGAAAGACATGTGGGCATAAAGAAATAATTCAATATTCAATTTCTGGCAGAATTCAAGAAATCTGTTTATAGTTGGGATCAGAGTGAGCCATTTATTACTATTATGGGAATGAAGGCCTGGGGGGGTTGGTTGCAATGGGTTTGCAACTGTTAAATGATTAACAGAACATTAAATTCAGGTTAATGAACCCATGGTCTTTGGCCTGATGGGGAGTTTATTCCCAGATGCCATTCTGAGGATTTGGCCTTCCCAAAATGGGCTCTCCTGGTGTGGCTGCTGCTCTCCTGCTCTGTCCATCCTTGAGGAGGTGGGACCTGCTGGGTGACTCCCTCAAATTCACTTCAAATTCCCCTGAATTCTGACCATGCCCAAAACCTTTGGAAGAAAGAGGTAAAGGGCTTTTAACTGAAAATTTCAAGTTTAACAGAAAAGAGGAGACTTCCAGGGAAGATTGACGCTGAGTTTTCCTTCAAAAAAAAGTCAAATGAGCTTTTTCTAGTGAAAAAATTCTACACAGTCCAAGATTATTCCAGATTTCTAGCAAGAAATAACCAAAAAGCAAGATCAAATAGTAGGTAAAGTCTGAAAACTTTTACATTTCTTGCCCTTTCCTCCCCCTTCCTTCCCCACTCAAATAACAACTGCAAGTAAATAACCAGAAAACACCTTTTTTCCTGTTTTTTTTTCTCCTCCCATTGCCCTTTTCCCCGGTCCTTGCAGCAGGAACACAGAGCTGGAGTGGCCATCCCAGCCGTCCCTGCTGGTCACACATTCCCTCATCCCATGGAGCAGCTTTGGTGTCCCCAAACCTAAATCCACGTAGGGAAATTGAACTGGAGCATGCTCCTGGTTTATGGCTGCACCTTCAATCTGATCTCAGTCTCCTCTTTACTAAACGCCAGATTTATTTTAATATTTGATTTTTCATTGAGACAAAAATAGTTGTTCATTCTGAAGAATGGAGTATGGGGACAGCTCAAGGAATTTTTCTCCAATTCCTGGGTTTTTTGCCACCAGGTGGCAATGGAGCTGCAGCACCACCCGGCTCGGGCGGACTTTTCCCAAAACACCCGAGTTCAGGGTCCCAGAACACTTGTTAATAAATCTTTAGGGTCAGACAGGTTTAACTCCTCTCCATCCATGCTCTCCCTGGTTCCACCCTCCCTTTCTGCAGCCGTAATTCCAAAGCTGGAATTTGGAATTTGGAATTTGGAATCTGGGCTCCAAAGCTCGGGGTTTGGGTGACTTCGGAGCGTGGAGAGTTCCATGAACCGGGGTTCTGCAAATCCGCGCTGCGGGAGGGGAGCCGGGAATGGGGGTGTGGGATCCGGGAATGTGGGGTGTGGGATCCGGGAATGCGGGATGTGGGATCAGGGAATGCGGGATGTGGGATCCGGGAATGTGGGATGTGGGATCCGGGAATGCGGAGTGTGGGATCCGGGAATGTGGGATGTGGGATCCGGGAATGTGGGATCTGGGATCCGGGAATGCGGGGTGTGAGATCAGGGAATGCGGGATGTGGGATCCGGGAATGCGGGATGTGGGATCCGGGAATGTGGGATGTGGGATCAGGGAATGCGGGATCTGGGACTGCGGGATCCGGGAATGCGGGGTGTGAGATCAGGGAATGCGGGACCAGGGACTGCGGGATCAGGGATTGCGGGATGTGGGACTGTGGGATGTGGAACTGTGGGATCCGGGACTGTGGCATCCTGGAATTGTGAGATACAGGAATTGCGGGGTCCAGATCTGTGGGATCCGGGATCAGGGGCTGCGGGGTCCGGGATTGCGGGATGCGGGAATTGCGGGGTCCGGGACTGTGGGATCCGGGAATGCGGGATGTGAGATCAGGGAATGCCGGATCAGGGACTGTGGGATCAGGGAGTGCGGGGTCCGGAATTGCGGGATCCGGGATTACGGGATCCAGGAGCTGCGGGATCCGGGACTGTGGCATCCTGGAATTGAAAGATACAGGAATTGCGGGATGCAGGATTGCAGGGTCCGGAACTGTAGGATCCGGGATTGTGGGATCAGTGATTGCGGGATCAGGGATTGCGGGATGCGGGAATTGTGGGGTCCGGGACTGTGGGATCCGGGATTGCGGGATCCCGCTGCCCTTTCCCGTATCCCGACACCAGCCCGGGATGCACGCCGAACCAAATCCCTTTTCCGTGCGCTCCCTTCCCTTTCCTGGCTTGGAGTGAAATTCCCTGGCTGTCCCCCAGCCTGGAGCCGCTCCGGGAGCTCCCCAGCCCGGCCGGAACCGCTCCCAAAGCCAAGGAGCGTCAGCTGCAGCTCCCCGAGCCTCCAGCCACGGGCACTGTGGCTCAGGCCAGCGGGGTTTACCTCTGGACATTTTTAACTCAGGAAATGCCAAGGGATGGGATGAAAAGAGCACAAAGGGCTCTCATTTGGCTTTAAAATAGCTTTTAAAAAGTCCCAGAGCTCAAACCCCCCAGATGTAAACTGAGCTGGGTCCACTGGACACAAATTCCCCTTGGGAAGGGACATCTCACTGCCCCTGGGACATCTCACTGCTCTGGGACATCTCACTGTTCTGGGACATCTCACTGTTCTGGGACATCTCACTGCTCTGGGACATCTCACTGCTCCTGGGACATTTCAGAGGGCTCCAAGTTCTGCATAAAATTCTAACTCTGAAAAGCCACTCCATAAATAATAAATTAATTTCTAATGTGGGAACTGAAGAATTAGGGTTGAGCCCCGACGTTTTTAATTCTTGTTGCTCTGAACAGAACTGAACGTTTATAAGGCCATAAAAAAGACAGAAACTGAGAAGTTCATATAGGAAAAGGAGTTAATTCACCTTTATTTCATTTCTCCAATAGTCCCAAACTTGACAGACGTAGAAAAATATCCTTGAGTCAGTAGACAAATTTACCAATGCTAAATAGCCCTTTTCTCTGACTATCTGGGCCACCCTAAATACATTTGTACAAGCATTACTTCAGGGGGTTTCAATAAAAGGTTCTTCTAAACCATAAACAATAAACTACAGAGGAAAAACTCGAGCTACCAAAGCATGCAGATGAAGGGATCTTCCAAAACTTAAAAAATATAATAAAATAAAATTAAGAAAGCAAACCAACCTTGAGATGCATTTGGAAGAGAAAACAAATTAGGAGAATTTGAGGAAAAAATAATTAATTAAGAGGAGTCAAAGCAAACTCTGTAAAGGATCTGTGGATAAGTTAAATTATCTATGGCACAACTTTTCACCAAAAAAAAAAGAAAAATGAAGGCAAAGACCAACGTTTTATATAAAAATAGCTGAGCAGGCTTCTAAAGCAGGAAATCAGCATTTCCAATGATGACTCTGTTAATACAAGATTATAAATACCCTTTATATACACAGAAAACCAACTCAATACAAACGTCTGGACTGTTTCACCGGGCATCTGGCACTCCAAATGCCCAGATCAGGTGTCCTGGACCATAGTGGAGGTACTTCAGTTGAAGGTTTGTAGTAGTTTCTTTGCTACACATACTGATACAAATGATAAAAATGCAATATAAATAGTGATTTTCACACAGAAACTCAGGAATATGCTCAGGTTACAAAGCTTAAGGAATTGGCCCAGAAGGAAGTGATAAAAGACTTAAAATTATCAATTATCCTGTTTTGTAGGTGAAGGAAAACATCCAAGTTATATAATAATATCTAAATTTTCATAATATTTTTTTTTTTTAAATGAAACTGATTCCTACAGTGAAAACAAAGCAGAAATTATCATGGCAGAAGATTCGTTATCTCTTCAGAAATACAGCAGTTTATTTGCCAAGATCACTTAGAAATACCATTATTATGGGTATTTTCATAAATTTCCAGGCCTCAAAGTTACCAGTTGCAAGGACATAAACAATAAACCATATTTGTATGGATGTATCTGACTCATTTTCAGAACTATGCAATTGATATGCAGCAAGACACAAAAATAAAGAGCAAATGAAATATCTTTGAGAAGAATGCCATTAACATTTCAAGTTAAAATACTTTTGTAGAGCTACCGTGATCAAGTTCAGTGTATCTGTGCACATTGTAAATCTGCATCTGTGTGCTCACACACACTCAATAACCCCAGAAATAACCCCAGAAATGATAAAATTTCCACTGGAAAAGGCAATTTCCCCCCAGCACGACTCAGTGGATTTGCCAATGACCTTTTGAACTGTATTTCACAAAATCTGCAGATAAAGCAGAAGCTCTTGTTTTCCACAGCACAGAAACCTTTCAGTTCATTAAAATTTTCTTAACTAAAACTTAGAACCTTCATTTCTGCCTCCTTGTGCCTGATTCCCTCCATCCCCCTCGTGCATCCTGCCACCCTTCCCCAGTACTCCAGGGAGAGAAATGTGACGGGGGAAATTCAAGGAACTCCTTTCAGATGAAACTTGAATACAAACGTGGTCTAAATCTACATTTGACCTCGGTTTGTTACTGACCCATTTTTATCTAACACTTCAAAATTCTTTCTACAAGGTCTCTATAAAGTTATGCCAAAAAAGGGAAACAAATGAAACAAAAATCTGCAGAGGTATTTATGAACTGTGATGTCTCAGAAAGTGTAAAATCCTTTTCCTTACAGTGCTGAGATCACTGACTGCTCTCTCAGATTAAGTCATCTGATGCACTGAGCAATGTTCCAACAATCATTTATACCAGAATTAAGGATAATATCCATTTCTCACAGTAACTGCACCAAAACCAGCACAGCCATCATCCTTCAGCTTTAACAGAAATATTTTCTCCCATTAACACACGCTAAGCTTTTCTCCCTAATATCCCATTATTTCCTCCTCCACAGATTGTGATAAACACAAATACAGAAAAATAGCACTAAATTAAAAACAAAAGTGATGGCTCACACTCAGCAAAAACCAAGCAAAAACTGAAGGATGGATGTTGGGAATAATTTATTGCCTATAAAAGGTTAAAAAAAATTCCTAAGTTCACATTTTCTGTGTGGGTTTAAGGGGTGTCACGTTTCAGAGGTAGCATTGTGTAAAATGTAAAACAGAGCTGGAAAAGAGTTATTGACTTAGTTCAGTAACATGGGAAACTGTTCCCAGAGCCAAAGCACTGACCTGAACTGTTTTCCTTCCAGGAATATCCTTGAACACCTCCTTTAGCCAAGAGGATTTGCTCCTTTGTGGGAAAAGAACCCCCACAAGCCCAAGGCTCTGACCCGTTCCTGTCGCCTTCTGACCAGAGCAGCTGCTGTTTTTCAGAGCAATAAATACTCACATTAAACTCCTGTTCTTTCATGAAAAACACCCACTTTGCTGCACTGACTTTTTTTCCCCCCCAAAACTTTTCAGATTTCACCTTTGGTCGACGTGGTAAAACATTCTTGATTAAGGAAATCAAGGACCACGCTCCAGCCGGTGTTCTCTGGCAGCCAGCTGGAGTTTCCTCACTGCCCACCCCTAACGTTGCTCAGGCACCTTCCAGCTGAGCTGGGAGCATTTGGGGCAGAAAAGGCAGAGTCTGGCCAGGCTCCAGCCCTCCAGCCCCTGGGGGAGCTGGGCAGGGGCTGGAGGCTGAGACCCGAGACCAGCAGCTCCGTGGGGAATGATGAGGGGAAGGTCAGAGCTGTGCAGGAGTTTGTGTTCAGGGATGCAGCAGTGCAAGAGATCCCAGAGGGGAGGGCAGATCCATTTGAAGCAGGGATTCCCATTCCCAGGCCAGGATGTCCATGGTGCTGCTGGTTTGTTCCATCACTCCACCTGTCTGAGCCCAGCAGCACACACAGCTTCTCCCCTTGGAGAACAGACTCTCTGAAGCTGCTGCCCAGTTCAAGATGAGTTCAAGTTCATTCCCTTCCTCCCTCACAGGGCTGCAAAGCCCCAAACTCCTCATTTCACACTTTTTATTGCCTTAGTGAAAAGAAATACTTGGAGAGATTAAAGTGCAGAGCTGCCACAGGGCCAGGCACCCCAGAAACCTCGTACGGTTCATCTGCTCAGGTACCTTTAAACCTGCCCCAAAGTCACCTGCTGGAGTCTTTTCTGTTTTATTGGAGTATTTCCTGATACTGTTACTCCTGTCAGACCTATGGATGCGACTGAAACATCACCTGCAGGGGGAGGAAAGGAGGTAGAGCTCCAGCAAACAGGGTTTAAACCACGAGCAAACCTTCCTGCATCAAAAACAGCTCCCCAGGGAGAGCCTGCCCTGCATCTGGCTGAAGTGTCTGTTCTGGGCTGCTTTCCCACCTTTTCTTCAGAGAGATATCACTGATGTTCCCATGGATGCTTTAGCAAAGAACAATGCCAGGGAAGTCACTGTTCATGGACAAAGTAAATGAGAGACTTGGCAGGAGGGTCAAACATTGATACATGGCCACAGAAAGGTGATAAAACCACCCATGCGTGGCCCTTCTGCTGCAGGGATAATTCAAATTAGAGTCACTCACTGCAAGAGAAAGGGGGCTGATTCCTGGCACCCTGAAAAGAACAGGATGAGCTTTATCTCCTATGGAAGGTTATGAAATGATGAACTGCACTTAAAGCAGGTGTTTGTTACCATCCTACAGACAGGGGAAACACCCTGAACCCAAACCCACCCCAGAGCCACCCCCACTGCTCTCCACCAACATTTAACCACCACTAATGGTAACAGGCTTTTGCTGGAAATACACACTGATTCTGCAAAAAACCCAGCCAAGAAACTGTGGAGCATCCTCCTCCCCAGACTTTGTTATTCAGGGATAGAATTTATATTCTTTTTCCCTGACTATCCTGTAGTGTTGTCAAGTGTCCCAGGCTGTGTTTTGTCGCCCCACAGGAGAAATGACCACAGAACATCCCCCAGGGATGGGGTGGGCCTTGACTGCAGCTCATCTCAGCTGCACATCCAAGAGGATTCCAGCTTCCTGGAGAGCAGGGACTGACATAATTGCTTGTATCTAGCAAACAGTTTTCAAAATTCACTCCTTCCATCTGTTTGGATATGAAATAGCAGCAAGACAACAATATAGGAATCATCAATAGAAGTTTCTCTTGCAGGAAGGCAGATGATTTAATTGACCATGAAATTGGGAACTCCTGTTAGAGTATCCTGCCCTCTGTCATGGGAATTGAAGTGGAAGAAACAGGAAAGCAGGGTCCAAATAGTGGCAAATCCCAGCACTGTTTTGTTTTTTTTTAATTTCACAGAAAACAAGAGGTTTCATTGTCAGTGGCACAAATTTCCTATCTAAAGAGAACACCAACAGAAACCATTGTTGGCCTGGCATAGAAAACCCTTTATAAATGAGTTTTTCAGAGTGAGAATTCCAGCTCAGCTCTATCCTCCCTGTGAAGGACAGCTCTGTGAGCTCTGCTCTCAAACCTCCATTTCCAGCCGAGTTTTAATGCCTCAACTCACACACAGGCCCAGCAGCTTGGAACTCTGGGCTTTCTCTGTGGAAGGGTAGATCTGCTGGGAACTTACAGAATTGTACAGGAGGCAGAACTGTGAGGCTTTTGGATTTTCAGAACACCTTTTAAAACCATTCCTGCCCTTTCTGCAGCTGGTATTTAACAGTATTGCTAAAAGCTCCTCATGCCCAAGGAGAGGAGAGACTAAAAACCTGAAAGAACAGAGCTCACTACTCATACTAAACAAAAAGAGCTGTACAAGTGGTTAGGGAGGGACTGATCAGACTGAGAAAACCCTAAACCCCGAGTTTAATCCCTGTATTAAAGAAAAAAAGGTGTTATTTCCCCAACACTCTGGGTTTTCTGAGCTTAGACCTCCCACTGAAATTAAGGGGATTACTCACTGCAAGAACAAGGATTCCCCAGAGTCAATTATTATTTGGCATAAAATGGGAAGATCAGGCTTTTTACCAGACTGAAGTATCTGTGTGAAAAATGCTTGCTGAGGGATATCCAGGTTGGAATTGGAGCATCAATGCCATAGGCAGGCACCTGCAGCATCCCACAGAACCATCCTGGAGGAAAAGAGCTCCAGACCTGCCTTGGACTGGTCACCACCCTGCCAACAGCACTGCCATGGCCAGGCACTCCCTGGCCACAAACACACCCCACTGAATCCATCTGAACATCTCTGCACATCCATTCCACCACAGCAGCGAAGGGATCCAGTGCCAACAGCTCTGGGAAAGAAGAAATTCTTTAATTAACTTAACTTTAAATTTTAGTTTTTAATTAACTTAAATTTTTAACTGAATATTCAGTTCAGCCCCTGCCTGCAATTGAGATCGAAGTTTAGAAATGGCACTTGCCAAAAAATGCACCTGGCAGGGCTTCAGACCAGATCTGCAAAACTCACTTCCAAACACTGGGAAACCTTTCAGGATGCAATGACAGCTGTGAATTCTGACTGGCTTGGTAAACTGGAGCAAAGTTTGTGGAAAAATATATAACCAAGACTTAAAATAATAAGCATAAAATTAGCATTCAGGCTTTGACAAATAGAAACTGTGACTACAATCATTAAACTCTAAAGAGTGTAAACATCCAATCCCATTGCTACAGTATTAGGAAGTTGTGTCCTGCAGCTATCAGGGTTCCTATTTCCACCTCATTTCTTCCAACACTTATCACTGCTTCTTTGCATTAATAATTTATTGATGATAATTCATTTTTTTCAGTTAGCCTTTCAAGGTTTTTTCAACTATTTTGGTCAGAAAAATGGAAGATTTAACAATCTCAAGTCAGAAAATGAAAAACACTTCAGTTTAATTTCAGGTTTGCAAGCACAACTCAGAGAAAGCCTGTTATTCTATTTGGATCCCCAATTTTTAGTCCACCTACCTGAGTAAAAATGGGGAAATTTATAATAAACAGGCCTGGGGAGCACGTGGAGCTGGAGAATTTGCTTTGTGTCACATGACATTTGTTTCCCACTCTTGCATCCCTGCTCAAAAAGACTTTGCTACAGAGCCAGAGTTGTTCTGGAGAGTCAAAGTTAATCCTACCCAAGACCAAGCTGATACCAGTGAACCTTTCCCTCACCCAGTTCTTTGATTTTCCAAACCCAACATTCCCAATTCCTGCAAGGCCGCGAGGAGCCACAGCCACCCTCCAGCACAGCTCCTCCTCCTCGGGCTGAGGACACTGCAGAGCAAAAGCCTCTCTCTCTCCTGAGCCCTGCACCTCCCGTGGGGTTTCTGTTCTGTCTCTTCCAAAAAAAGGGAATCACAAACTGTCTGAGGCGTTCTTCTCCGACAGGGATGAGAGGCTGAATGAGGTATCATCGGGCTCCGGGGAGGTGTGGTTGAAATCCATTTCTTCAAGTTCAGGAGGTAAGTCTGAAAGCAGAGCCTACAAGGGAAAAATATATCTAATATATAGGATATCCACTATTAAGTGTGGTTTTTATGTCAGCAGTGCTTTAAACAAAGACTGAGAAAATGAATTCAGTTTTTCAATCATAATTTGAGCCTCTGGAATAATCCCAAGGGAGGGGCACAACACAAAAGGACAAACATTCTCTGATATTAAACACAGATATTGAAGCTGCTCCAGGATTTACCTGCTGCTGTTCCTTGTCATCTGCTTTAATTGCAAGTATCAAACTCCGGGTAAACGTCTGCAGTTCAAAATATTTCTGTTTGTGGTTCTCCAGCTGACTCTCAATGAACCTGACTTCTTCACTCTGTGGGGAAACCAGAGAGTTCTGGGAATAATCTCAGAACCATGGAATCTTTTAGGCTGGAAAAGCCATCTTAGACTGAGCCCAACCATTCCCCAGCACTGCCAAGGCCACCACTGACCATGTTCCCAAGTGCCACATCCACGTGTCTGTTAAATCCCTGCAGGGATGGGGACAGGACAGAGCACTGCAATAACCACACCCAAACACCCTTGGGTTAAAAACAAATTGTCACTAAAGAATTGTTACTAAAAACTATTTTTAGTGACAATGACAACCAAAGCCCAGATCTCTTCCTAGAAGTGATCAGGGGGCTGTGAGAAGAGACAGCAAAAAAAATTCCATTATTACAGCAGAAGGATTGACACAAAAAACAGGGGAAATGACTTGAAAATTCCTCAAAGCTACCACAAATTACAAGATAACATCCTCCAGTGCGGCTGGCTTTGACATGGATCAAGTGTCAGCTCACCAAGCTCCTCAGGATCCCTCGGGTTCCAGAATAAACAGGAATATCAGAGTGACAGAACAGTTTGGAAGGGAAAGACCATTTAGTTCCAACCTCCAGAGTTGTTTATGGGGCTGGAACTGGATGTAATGTATCACAAAATGAGGAAATATCAATAATTTGTGTGCTTTGGCTAAAAAGGCATTTTCCCAATCTATACTTGCAAATCTCTTAATTAAGAATTCAGATTTGATAAGAATTTCTATTTATTACAAGTATCTCTTTAGACATTACTGGATCAAAATGCTAAACTTGTAGATCAGTGCAGAGCTAAAATCCATTTTGTCTGGTTATTCACCTTTGCAAATATCATGAAAATCAAACTGTTTATTTAGGTTACAAGATCAAAGGCATTGCTCATTTTTGCAGCAGGGCTCTGTTTAATAGCACCAACTCATGAGAGAATAATGAAAAAAAAGTATGATATTCATGCTCACACTGGCTGGAATTCAGCTTTAGCTGACATGAATAGCTGTGACTACATGATGCTCTAAAGGTTTGCAACAAACCTTTAAAAATGGTTGTATTTTTGTTGGGTTTTTTTCCCAGAAAATTCACATTTTTTTCAGTGAAAGCACTGCTCACCACACTGTTCCAGGTGATAACAGCTCTGGGAATGAGAGAGGAATATTCTGAGGCTTCCATAGAAAATCAGCTGAGTTCTTCCCAATGGATATTCAGCAGCTGCCTGGTTAGCTCTGGATTTTGCCCAGCCCAAGAAGAATTCAGACTTAGGCAGAAAACTCAGGGGGTAATCAGTGCTGTCAAACAACAGCCCTGGCTCTGCAGGGCACTGTCACAAGCAGCCTCTCACTGCGCTGACAGGTGACATTAAGAGAAGGTCATTCCCTCTCCTGATTCATTCTCCACTGCTCTTCCCAGGAAATTGCTGCTGGAAGGAAGAATTTTTGTTCTGAAGAGATGATCTGTTTATTATTTTGGTAATTTATTTTCAGGAGAACAGACCTGGTTTCTAAGGGAAGAAACCAGCAATGGAGGTAAAAACTCAAGGAAACGTGGAATTGTGGCAACTCCTGGGAGAGCAGTGCATGTAAAAACCTCAGTGAGACAGGAGCTGGCAGGATCCAACTGCTTCTCCTCCCTCCCACAGCCACCACTTCCAGGCATGTCCTGGGGAATGATTTCTCCTCAGATCCCCCATTCCAGCAGAGGATTCCAGCTGCTCAGTCCCTTTCAGAGCTGGCAGCACCACGTTGCGGGAGAAGCGTCGCAGCTTTCCAAGGAACAATTCTGGTGGAGTGGGTCCATAAATCCCTTTGCTGGGACACATGGAGGGAGCTGCAGCTCTGTAGAAATGGGGTTTTCCTGCCTCCATTTGGGTTGAAATGTGGATAAAGTGGCTGGAGGTGGGATGAGGGCATAATGTGCACACTGGGAAAAGAGCAGAGGAATTCAGGATCCCACAAGCCTTTGCTGAATTCCTGACACATCCACCCTCCCTGAATTCCCTGGGGATTATCCCACTGTCCCTGACATGGCCCAATCACTCACCTTGTAATCCAAAAGAGAACTCATCTGATCCACTTCAGAATTGCTGATCAGATCACTCTCCTCATCATCTAAAATTTCTATTTTCTGAAACAGAAGCAAACAGCTCATTCCAACGCACAGAGGAGACAAACAAACGAGGATCCTCATCCCAAACGAGCGGGAAGGACGAGGGATGAAGGATGCACAGGAAGCTCTGTGCTGGCTCCTGAGCAGCTCTGAGCCGTGCAGCTCCCATTAGATGGCAATCATGCACCTCAGCCAGGAGATCCAGCAGGAATCCAGCGGGAGCTGCTGCCATGGAGACTCTGGCTGTTGACAGAGGAGGAGCTCCCTGGCCCAGCTTTTTGACTTTAAGTTGCACATTTACGCCTTCACAGCCCCTGCTCTGCTCTGTTGTTGCAAAGGAGGGTCTGGAAATGTATCCCCTCTGGATAAACCATCACAGCAAGTCCTGAGCTACTCCTCACCTAAAGAAATCAAGGAGTTCTCTCCTCTGACCTTCCCTGACCAGAGTGCAAGGAAAATGCCCCTAGCTGTAGGGGATGCTGATCCAAAGGACACTTCCAAATGCATAAATGTGAACATTTTCACCCAATTCACAAAAATCTGGGGAGATTTTTATACTGGGTCTCTAAAGACACCTAAAGCACAGTGTTAAGGCCAAGCTTAACACTGACTAAGACTCAGAAATACGTCCCAAGTTTTTTTACTGCTTTTGTTTTGACAGTTGTGATCATTTATGAACCTGTCCACAATAAGTTAAAGCAATTTTCCAATTATTTTGGATGGTGTTTAACCCAGTGTAGGGAAGGGCCCCCACTGGCCCAATCCATGTCCATGGGTCATTCCTGAGGCGTTAATTCAGGTTTTTCCTACAGCATGTGGTCCCTCCTGCCTGCACACCAGGAACTTCCCTGAAATCACCGAGGAGAAATCCCTCCAGGGGCATTCCCAGCTCCCCCTGGCAGGACCCACCAAGCCCCCAAGCCTGTGCTGAAGGCAGGGAGGATAAAGCACATTTTGTGTGGCTGTCTGCCAGCCCAGCAGAAGTGACAACAGCTCAGAGCTTCAATGTCCCTGAGTTCTGCTGCTCCACCAGACCCTCAGTAACACTGGCACTCAAATATTTTTGGTTTTAGACTCAGCTTGAGGAGAGAGTCTCTAAATAACTGCCATTCACATTCCCCTTCTTAGACACACTTTTTAAGATAGGAGGGGAAGGAACAGATTAGAATTTCAAATAGGAAAACTGTATCTCTTATGCAAATACAATGTATTTTTGTCCAATTTTAAATGCATTTTTAAAGTTTTGTTACAGTGTTTTCAGAAAAAAAGTATGAAGAAACTCTTCCTTGTTTTTTTTCCGGTGTTGTATCAAATGACAAAATCTGGGGTTCAGGGAAGCCCAGCCTCTTGGACACCATCTCTGCAAACCACTTCTACTGAAGGTTTTAGGGTTTTTTCCTGCTGTGTCTGAGTATTTTTAGTACAATTTTAAAGCTCAAATAGGAAATAATAGGAAATTCTCAAATAGAAATTTAACACACACAACTGAAGTTGTCAACTAGTGAAAAACACAGGTGCTGAACAACCTCAACATTAATTAAGGAGTTATTAATTGGTGGAAAAGGAAAGGTAAACATACCACATTATCAGTGGAAACTGGATTCTGGTCATCGTCTTTGTGGCAAATTTCTTCATTTTGAAGAGCTTCATTTGTCTCTTCTGCAGAAATAAATTGGTTTTGTCAGATTTCATTCTAATTTTATGCTGTAGGACCATTAATGGTGTTTATCACTAAATGTCACAGCTGCTAAATCCAACAGCAAAGTCATGGTATCAATGTCTAATCATAAACAGAATATCTGCCTTATTAAAAAGACATCTTGTCACAAGCATTTCAGGCCGACATCAAACCAATTGTGACCTGAAACAATACCAAAACTCAGTTCTCTGTACCAAAACCTTCCCATTTGTAGGTTCAGGTTGGAATATTCAAAGGTGATGAAGAGTTTCACATCAGAGGTGTGCAGAAGTTGGGGTCTTTTTAAATGAAAATAAATTCCCACATGAAAAATTCTGCATTCCCTGAAATTCTGGGGGGTACATATCTGAATCCCACTTCCCCCTTGCTGACACTGATGGGTTTGGAACCAAAAACTGATCAGATAATGGCAAACACTTATCCCCAGTGAACCTAAAGTGCTTTTTTATGTATAAACACCTGAAAACAGAGCTGGGATTTCAACCACAAAGCGTAAGATGATTCCATTGCCCTTAAAGGCCAAGGAGAACACAAAACCCACAAAAAGGTAAGACTATTTACCCCTAAAATTTAAGTTTGTTTCTCATATTTACTTGACTTCTGCATATTAAAACATAGATCTATCACACATATTAAATATAAAGAGGAAAAGAGGGAAGGGGCAGCAAGGTTCAGGAGATCCCAGGGACTGTCACCTCCTCACAAACACAGGGATAACAGGATTTCCCTGGGATTACCAAAGACAGAGGAATGTTTAGGCCAGACCATACAGAGCCAGTTAATAGTTTTAAACAACTTGGATGTTAAATATCTCTAAACTGTGCTAGTTTGGTTGGAAATTGTTTCAAATAAACTTCATGTGCCACTGGTCACAGCTCCATAGGACAATTTGCTATCCAGGAGCACGTGGAATCAAAGGGGAGCAAGGAAGGGTGAAGGTCACTGGGTGAGGAAGCTCCTCAGGGACATTCCAAGGCACTAGGAACTCTGTAACCCTGGCAGTCACCCCTTGGATTCAACAGCTCCCTACAGCATTCCCAACTGCTTAAATATTCATCCTCAGCTCATGGAACCCGGCACAGCCCTAATGACCTCCACTTACACAGTGTGGATTCAATTAACACACAATTAAAAAAGGTGAGGCAATATGAGAGCTTTAATGATCCATTTTGCACCACAGCACAGCTTGTTTTTTTACATTTACACACTTTTTTTTAGAAGCAGAAATCATCAACTGTAATTCTAATTAGGTGACCAAAAATTGCTTTTGTTTGTCTTTCAGAGTGGTTTTTTGCTGCTGTGGTTTCGGTTTTTTAATAAATTAAGACCAAAAGTTATAGTTCTCAAACATTAGAACAATTCTCTATCTTGTGACTGAACATAGCCCATGAGTATTGGGGGAAATATTTTCCAGGAAGTTCAAAACCAGCTGAGCTGCAGCAGTGAAACCTCCTCCTTTGAACTGGAGAAATGAACAGAAATAATTGTTGTGGGAGAATAAAGGAATGAAAGTGGGATTCCTGGATGCTGTGGAAATCCTGTTGTTTCCTTGCACTTCCTTAGGCTTTGACACCAATAATGCATCCAAGTGCTCAGCCTCGCCTTGCCTGATGAAAGCCTTGCTCAACAAACATGGAGTTATTCCTCACTTGAACTACAACACATCAGACTCTTCCCTGTCACCATTTGTTCTCAAGCAGATCTGACTTCAATCAGCTCCTTCCACACCTCAGGTAAATCAAGGATTCTGAGATTCCTCATCTCACTTGACCCATTTCTTCATCATCTTATTCCCTCTACAGCCAAATATGACAAAGCTCTCCCAAACTCATTCCCAGCTGCTCTCCGTTCCCCTGGCTCTTCCTTTTAAATTGTTCTGAGGAAATGACAGGATCCAGCCTGGCACACTGAGCTGCAGCAGCAGCAGGCCCGAGGTCAGACTTTCTTTCAGCTTGGAGAGCAAAGGCTCCATTGATCTCCTCTAAGCAGAAGCACTGGGAGCAATTAGTGAGTGGGGGATGTGGCAGCTCATGGACAGGAGGGGCAGGGAGACATCGATCCCATGTGCTCCTGGGAGGGAAAAGGGAATTAAGTTGAAGGCTCTTCTCACTCCAGATGCTGCAGTTTACTGAGGACACCCCCACTGTGTGCAGTTCCAAGGCTTCTGAGCTGGCCCCTGCTCCTGGCTTTGATCTGCTGGGTTGTGTTTGCCTGTCAGACAGAGCAGCAGAAGCCCTGGGCAGTTCCTTGCTCCAGCCTGAGCCGAGGGGTTCCCTGCCAGGAGAACTGGGAATGCACAGTCCCAGCAGCTCTGCTCAGTCCCAGCAGCAGCTCCAGCCACACCTGGGGTGTCTCAAGATCACAGGGACAGAACCATGGATTCACATGGAATCACAGCATGGCTTGGGATGGGAGGGACATTAAAGCTCATCCTGTTCCACCCCCTGCCAAGGCAGGGACACCTTCCACTATCCCAGGGTGCTCCGAACGCCATCCAGCCTGGCCTTGGGCACTTCCAAGGATGGGGTGTCAAATGGAATGGCTACTCCAGCTGGCTGGGAAGAACTGAGCAGTTGGCAGAGAGCATTTCTTAAATCTGGCTTCCTTGTGAAGTGAGGCTTCCCCACCCATACTGGCTGCCCAGCTCTCACTTGCACCAGCAAAACGTGAACTCTTGATCTGATTTCAGATGAATCTGGCAGAAATGGGGCTCCTATGATCAAAGGTTTATCCAGCCTTCGCACAACAAACCAAACAAAACTCTGAGACACAGAAGAAAGAGACCAAACAGTACCTTCAGCCCAGGTGGGGTGGAGCACTTGTGACTCTGTCAGACGTTTTTGAATGTGTACAACAGAACCCAAAGCATGCACACTGCACAAAATGGAAAATACAGGCACAGTAGTAACTGCATTCCAAATACCTTGTGAGCTTCCTTCAGATAAGCAGATTGATACTTCATCATTCCTATCATTATCATCCCCCACTTCAGTAGCAGTTTCCTCTCCTGGATTAAGTGCTGATTTAGAAACAAATTCAGATTGATCAGAGAAATCAGCAGGACCTCCTCTAGGGGGTGGGACCTCAATCCCCATTAAACGATATTTCCGTCTTCGATTCCCAATCCAAGTCTTGGAAGAGAAATAAACATGAGTGATATTAGAAACTATAACAACCAAGTGACATCAGCACATCTGGGCTACAGGAGCAAGGATGCAGCCAGCAGTTCAGGGAGCTGATTATTCCCCAGTATTCCATCCTCCTGAGGCTGTTCCCTGAAATCCTGTGTCCAGGTTCAGCTTTCCAAGGGAAACAGGAAGGTGCACAGCAAAAGGAAAAGAAGCAATAGGCACAAGCGGCAGCAAGGTAAGCTCTGACTGGAATTGAGAATATAAAAGAAAAAATAATGCTTTACAGTGAAGCAGAGGGACATTTTGTCCATAGGAGCCTTGGTACATCCAGCCTTGGATGCACTCAACGTTTTACTGGACAACATCCTGAGAAACCTGACTTGATTCCAAAGTCAATCTTGCTCCAGATAAAGAGCAGGAATAGGTGACTTTGTAAGGCTTCTGCCCACCTAAATTATTCAACAAATTTAATGTAAGATCTTTGATCCAGGTTTTCCTCCTCCCCAACTTCCATAAGGAGAATGAAACATCCGATGACCCAAACATCCCCTCTGTTCTAGGATTTCCTACAGCACAGAGGGAACTGGCCAAGGTGACACATCTACAGCACTCCCCTTGGAGGACAGAAAGCAACTTGGAAGAATAAAGCTCAGAGCAGCTCATGCTCATTCTTCCAAAGTCCCCTTTGGCTGCAAGACAGAGCTTTAGGAAAAGTTGTTTGCAGTGAGTGCAGAGGAGCACACTGGGAACAGTCTGGGACATGAAGGAAACTTTGCCATAGTGGGATGGAGATGGATGCTCTAAGTTCATCTTACATCAATAAAACTGATTTTCAAAGGGGAAAAAAAAATAAGAAAAGGCCAACATTCTAAATTCTCCAATTGGATCTGTACACCTGGTCATTAATTTGCCTTCTCTGATGAAGAAATATCTACACAAAAAATTATTAAAGATTCAGCGTTTAACATGATGTAACAAGAATTGTCTGCAACTCTTCACCTTCTAAGACTCTCCCTTCCCTTGTGTCACTCAGGCTTTCAGCTTCTCATCTCAACTCTGCTCAACAGCCCCTGTACCCCAGACTCTTCATTCCATCAAACCAGTTCTCCATTGGCAACCCAAGATCCTTCCCAGAGACAGGAATCCACTTCTTTACCAACTGCTACTCCCACTCTTCTCGGGCTGGCTCTCGTTCCCCTGCCACACCACCTACACCCCCAGAAATAGGAGCAGCAGTTCCTGGGTTTGAAAACAAGATCAGGCCATGGCAAAATGCACATCCTTTTCATGAGGCCTCTGTTCCAAATGGGTTTCCCAAGACATTAAAATATTTTAGGATTTTCTTTAAAGACTGACTAAACATCACTCTGGCCTTATTTCAGAAACACCTGCCCTGTTCCTCTTCCTAGGTTTCTGAAAAAGTTGAGTAAAAAACTTTTTGCTTATAATACTTTGATTACCAAAGAGAAAAAAGTAAAGGAATATTAACAGCAGTCTCATCTACTAAACACAGTTTCATGCTGTGCCAGCCTTAGGAAAAAGAAAAGCCCTTTTAAAGCTGCATCTCTAACAAGCTAAAAGATAACATGCTGAACACTATTTTTAGCAAATCGTTTTTGTTGGCTCGTATTTGCTTTCCCAGCTTGCTGATTTTCCTCTTTGAAGAATGCACAACAGGTATGAAGAGAACTACCTAGATCATTTTTTCCTATTACCTACAGTTTTGAGGAGAAAAATTAAAGTAAAACCGCCACACAAGCAGCCCTTTGAGATCTGGGTCTCTTTTTTCCAAGCCGTGTATTGCCATTCTTTTAAATTTTCCCATTGTCTCGTGATTTTAACAAACAGCATTAACAAAATTTAAAATTGAATCTACCTATTTTTTAGTAAAAAAGGCACTTGGGAAAGGCAGATCTTTTTACAGACTCTTCAAAGCAGAAAATCTTTCATTCAACATACTGAGAATGTCAGAGAAGATGAACATGTTTTGACAGTGTCTCAAATTAAATGGGGAAGAGAAGGTTCCACATCCTGCCTGCTCTGCTGAACAGAGAACATTCTGGAACAGCAAAACAGTGAGAGCAAGAGCAGACTGGAATTGCCATGAGGAAAATCAGCTTGAGACTTTCAGCCCTAAAATACATTCTCCTTAAACACTTCCTTAAACATGTGAAGTGCATGGGACCATTTGTGAGGCTGTTCTGGTCCAGGTGATGCCAGAGCCTTCCTGGGCTCTCCTGGTCTCTGCCCTGAGGACAGAAACATTCCAGCAGGTGGAAAGGCTTGCACAGAGTTCCAGTGTCAGCCCTGGTGTGCCAATGAGGATGTTCCCAAGGGAACAGACTGAGGGAGCCTGGGTGTCACTGTGCTGTCCAGGAGGTGCTGTCAGGGGGAACAGCTTCACCTTTCAGAGAGCAAAGTGAAGGCCTTGGTAAACAAGGAGCAGCTTTGCTCTCTACAGAGAAAAGAGTGATTTTCTTCAGCCTCCAAAAGTACAATCGGGTTTTTTAGAATTCCTGTGTGGCCACAAAAACAAATAAGCAGATTGGTGTTCAAGCTAAAAGCAGCTTTGGCAGCGTTTGGATGCACCAAGCCAGAGGTCTCCACAAGAGGAGAGTTTCACCAAGGGCTCTCAGCTCTGTTTCTGCAGCAGTGTCAGGAATTCGGGTAACAGGTGCAAAAAGAGGATGAAGCCTGAAAGGAATAATCCCAATTGTCATGCCTGTCATGAGGGAAAGGAGGTCTCCTGTACTTGTCTGACTGCAACAGTGGGGCCATTTCCTGAGGCTGGGATGAGCAAATGAGACCCCAGAGCTGCAGGGTGCTGTTGGGTGTCTGCTCATCCAGGATACAGCAGCAACAACTTCCCAGCCTCTAGAACAGTGGTTCTTGGGAGCCAGGTTATCTCCAGCACACCCCTGACTCCCTCAACCACTTATAGGGACCATCAAACTACACTAACTCAGAATTCCTCCATCGCATCTCAACCTGCCCTCAAGACAGTCTTGAAAAATATTTATTTTCCTGTTTTGGAGGATTTTCTTTCACACAGTTTTCCTTATAAGCCTGAATGAGAAATATTTTCCCTGTATCTTTGGGAAAGCCCTTTTTTGGTATCTTATTAGCAATATAAATAGTACCTTTCAGTCTTCTAGGATCTCCCTCAAAAATGTAACACTTTTACTTAAAATCTTACTCAAGAGAATGTCAAACAGCTCGTAGTGCTGTTTCTGCTGCTGATCAATAAGACTCTTACCTGAGGGCTTTTACTAAATATAGACTGCAGAAAGAGCAGGAGAGCACTTCCCAACATGGTCATTCATTATGTAATATGTGAAATCTATTTCAAGCTTCCTCATGAAATTTTTAAAGCCTTTCATCTGTCCTATTTTTGCTCCTGCGACAAGATAAGGGAAGACTCTGGATTTCTTACCCGAACTATTTCACAGTCAACATTTAATTCTGCAGCCACAGCTTCAATTTTCTCTCTGCAGACTGAGCCCAGGCTGGTCATGCCATTGTCCCAGTATTTCTTTAGGGTAGCTAAGTCTCGGTCACTAAACTGTGTGCGGTCCTGTAACTGCAAGATAAAAAAAATACTGTTAGATTGAAAAAAATCTGCTTATCCTGAGCATTCATGTCCAGAGGTGTCCCACACAGTAACACACATGTTCTACTGTCTCCATGGCTCTTCTTCTCTTTTAAGTCTCCCTTAAGAATTTGGGGGGTTTTTTTATTCCTTTTTTTTATCCAGGGCACTTCAGAGTTCCCTGGGATTTGCTGTAAAGGCAGTGGAAGCATTAACACAAATTTGAGGCACTTCAGCTTTGTTTCAGCTCCACCTGATTTTTTTGGTAATTTGTTTTATCTCATCCTATAAGGCCTTACTGAAAACAACTTTTTTTCCCTCTTGTGCTGTTTACTCTCTCCACCCAATTTATGCAAATTATTCCCTAAAGGCTTTTCAAGTTTCTCACCCTCCCCCCTTAAAGTTCTTTTATCTTACTGCAAACTACAACATATGCATAATTCAAAGGATTCTGACTTCCTAAAGGGAATACTTTAATGTTTATGTGGTGAGCTTGAGTTTAAATTGGTTCCACTGTTTATCTGTGAGTTCCCAAACTCTTTGTCTACATTTATCAAAACATGTGATAGTGGATCAGTGATAAAAGGACTAACACTGAAAAAGAATTCCTAAACATCTTACCACTGTTTGAACTGGTGTGAGCACAGAATGTATTTCTCTAAAAGAGCTCCCAAGCTTTATCAAATGCTTTTTACACAGAATTTTATCTAAAATCTACGGTTTCCTTACACCAACTCATTTTTACTTCTGCTGCTATTCAGAGGACAGAAAATCAACCACAAAGTCTGCACTCATAACTTGTAGCCCATGTGCCACATGTGTCATTGTTTCAGTAGCTGAATTGTGCTCATGATTTCAATAGCTGAATTCTGTGTTTGCTCATTTAAAAACCATTAAAAGTTGGAAAGAAATAATTGTAAATGGAATAAAAAGTAATTTCACAGAACTAGGATCATTTGACAGTCTTGTACAGTTCCCAGTTCTAGTGTTTGTTATCTTCAGAACATTGTAATTGTTGCAATTTTCTTCTCTTAAAAGTTACTATTTCTCAAAATGTTAGACGTACTTGAGTCTCATCAATGTATGAACATAAAACAGGGACATCAATTTTTGTCTTCCTAAAATAATTCCAATAAAAAGATGCACAGATAAATTCAAATATGGTCCTGTTGCAGTTGATGACCTTAGAGGTTTTTTCCAATTTTCATGAATCCACGACTGAGTGCGGAGCAGGCACTCAGAGTTTTTCCTGGCTATCATTCCATCATACCAGTCTGGAATCAGAGGAGCTGTTCCCAGCCTGCCCGTGCCACAGCTGATGGTGTCAGAGTGGGGATGGTGAGGAGCACCCTGGACAGCCCTGGGCAGCCCAGCACAGGGGATGCTCCTGGGCAGAATGCTCCAGGGCAAGTTCATCCCAAAGGAATCCACTTGGCTCATTGAAGGCTGCTCCAGGCTGAGCAAAGCGCAGCTCCACACCCAGGCAAAGCCAAATCCCCGCTTCGCCTGGAGCTGCCACTGCTCTCGCTGCACGCCTGACCTGAGCTCCTCCTGATGCCAAGCCATGTTCAAGGAACAAAAGTACAGCCATCTCCTGGATCACTGCAGCAATAACTCCTTTTATAGCTGCTGGCAAAAGAGATTGGGACTCAGGAAGAGCTCTGCTCTGCGGCAGCCCAGCACAGAGGAGAGGGAAGGCAGAGGAGTGACAGCAATGCACAGAAAAACAAGGCACCCTGGCCTGTCCACACTCCGGAGTGCCCAGGGCAACCTCACCTCCTAAAGGACAGTGGGTGTTTATTTTAAACATAAATAACTACCATTGCCTGCTGCTTCTGCAGAGTTCACACTGCTGGAGGCCCTCACAGTGAACTCACAGAGCTCCCTGTGATCGGTGCAAGGACACAAAACCCCCCTGGGAACACCCAATTGCCTTCCCAGGTGCAACTCTCCCATTTCAGCCTGTTCACTTCAGTGTTGCACTCAAGAATCCTTGTGGGGTCCCTTCCAGCTCACAATATTCTGTGAAATGCTGTGGAGCACCAGGAAATGTGCCTGGTGTTACAGCACAGGTAAGGGAGAACCCTTGCTCAGGTTGTCTTCTCCCAGCCCGGTGGTTGCATTGGCCAAATTAGAACAAAACCCAAAGAAAGTCCAGTTGCTGCTGGAGGAAGCTCAGGTTTCTTCTTGCCACGTTTCCCAGTTATTCAGAAATGCTTCCTCTCCTGAAAGAAGCCAGGGCAAGGACTCGGTAGCAGGAAAAGTGATCTGCAAGAGGATCCTGCCTGGGACAAAAGACACCCAGTGCCTGCCTCGAGTTCCCCGAGAGATGGTGCTCAGGAGGGTGCAGAGTCTGCTCAGCTTTTAATTACTCAAAACAAGGACTTCACATGAAAAAAACCAGAATTTAGCAAAAGCCTGGCCTTCAAAAATTTTCCTTAAAAAGCAAAGTCAGATCTTTTCCATTTCAGTGGATAGATATTAATTCTGATGACCTACTGCAAATGTTTCAATAAAAATCTTATTAGATACATCACTATTCAATGGTGTTCACCTCACAAATACTCTATCATCATGATAATATAACTTATATTTTCTACTTTGGAGTCTCTGTCTCATTTTAGCCATTTTGTTCTGCCAAGACCAGCGCTGAGCTCTGCCAAGTGAGCAGCTCCGTGGGATCGCAGAGATCCTGAGGGATCATCATTTACACACCCTGCTCTCAATTGCTGCATCAGCATCATGGGATCAGTGTCAACCTTTAAGCTCAGTAGATGTAAATGACACTTGAGCATGTCCAAATCTCAGCTCCAGATTAGCTGCCTTTGTGTAACACGCTGTGCCATGGGCCTTATCAGCAGTTTCTTAGGGAAATCACAAACTACCTTCAATTACAGGATCATCCCCTCAACATGGATCATACCCAAGTTTGACTCCTGCATTATAAACTGCTTAAAAATTACAAAATTACTTTTGTCAGAAAATAAAGCATAGAACTTCTACATTGTACATGTAACTAAGCTTCCATCAATTTAGTTAATAACCTTCTCATGCTTAGTATCATCAGAGGAAATGAAGGACCAATGGTAAAATCTCAGAGCCCTACAAATATCATGATATTCATCATTATAGGAAAAAATAAAAAAGATTATATTGGAAAGTTTCATATTTATGACAATACTTATAGGTGAAGTCAAGCCAGTAATTCAGTTCTTAGTTTTTACGTCATTAACTCAGCTCTGAATACAATTCTCATTTTCTCTCTTCAGATACCCGGCTTGCTGATTCAAGGCTTGCCTTTATCCTTGATGGTGCTGGCTGTTGGCTGAATCCTTCACATTTCCCACTTCTGTTGGCCACAGTTTAAAAAGCAGGAGATGCTTTGTCCAGCAGAATCCAGCCTATCCATTCCCAAGGAAAAGCAAATTGAATCAGCAGCTGTGCCGCGCACAGGTTTAAACCCGGCTTATCCCCGACCTCCCAAGTGTAACAACAACATCCTTGGAAGAGATGACCCAGTTTATTAGAGACATTTCTGGCTCTGTGCCGAGCCCCTGGTCCCCCCCCCACTGTGCAGCAATATCTGTGGTGCAAATCCGGTGTCTATAATTGGGATGAATAATTGCACGGAGTGGAGTGTCCTTATCCTGCCTTTTCTTAGAGCCTGCGTTTTTAGATCGGGTTTTATGCATCAGTTGAAAATGTTTCAGGCCACGTGCACAAAAGCTATACACAAATTTCAGATTATTAATCAAAGACATGCTAAAAAATGGAAGAACTAGAGGTTTTATACATAACTTGCATTTATGCTGCAGCTGAGCACTGTGCGTGGTGTTCATTTCAATTGCAGTGAAATCATATTAAATCAACATTCAGTTCTGATACTTGGTGATGAAATGGGCTGAGGTAATGGTTATTTTTAGCAAACAAACCTCTCACAAACAAATTTTCCATGCCTTTGATCCCTGTCACTGCTTCTCTGTTATATTTTGGGAGAAATGGGAAGATCAGAAGCACTCAAAGTATTCAAGGTATGAACAAATCCCAGATTTTCTGTACAAGCGCAGTGTCACTTTGCCTTATTCACCTTTCCCAGTGACACCAGCACGGAGTTCTCTGAACCCTGACACTAATTAATATCTGTTTCCTTCAGAGGATTATCAATTCCTACCTCAAGATCTTACTTGTATGTATTAACAGTGATTTCTGAATAATTCCACTATGTTTCTCGTTTCCCATCTGCACCATTTAATATCACTCTTGCTTTTCAGTTTATTATTTCTTCATTTCCCATACACAAATTCTGAAGGTCTGCATTTTCCCTTAATACACCAAGATATTTAACTTCATTAAAACCGTGCCAGATTACACATTCCTTCAGCCTGAGGTTTCAGCTTCGGGTTTCACCAGTGCCACAAAGCTGCTCCCTGGCAGTGACACCCATCCTGAGCTGGACACAGCTGCACAAACTCAGGCACAGAGGTGTCTGAAGGCACCCTCCAACTCTTCCTGCTCACACACCATTTAGGAACACACTTTTAGGTGTCTGCAGCAGAGACTTTTTGCATCTTTCCCCACTGGTTGGGTAAGCTGGCAGTTGGCTCTGATGGAAGCAGAACTGATAAATATTTCATAGCACCCCATTGTGAGAAGAGCTGTAACTGCTTCAGCACTCAGCCAAAATTACAGATATTCTGTTAATATCTGTTTCTAAATCAAACTCAACTAAAAAGATGAAAAAAAAAGAGAGAGATATCAGTGCAATGAACAGTCTAGCAAAGAAATGACACTATGAGCCCCAGTCATCTCGCTCTAATTTCCAAACCAGCCCTCAAACCACACAAACTGACAATTCACCCTTCTGGAGCTTTTGAGCTGATTTATGAAACAGCAAATGTTCAGCCTCAAAGTAAACTGATTTTTAGATGGTAATTATCATGATTCTTACTCAATCTATTCATGTCTTCCTCACATTGGACCAGAAAGTTTTGCAGTTCCTGTTCAGATAGGCTGCATTCCTTGCCTGCAGGCTCACAGCAGACAATAAGCCAGGGTGATTTGTGGCACTGAGGTGCAACACATCACGTAGTAACAAGATGACCAGACTTTGCATTCCTTCAGCATTGTTGGGGGACAAGGAGGTGCTGTTCCCAGCCAGAAGGCCATGCCATGCTTTTATTACCAATGGAGAAATACCTTGAGATATGTAGTAAAATACCTCACAGAAGGAGGGAACACTTTAGTGAGCATTCCAAATGCCACAAAGCAGGAACAAGCACAGTGTTCCCACCCAGAGACCTCCAGCTTGGCTCACCTCTCACTGCAGACCCCGACTGTCTCACTCAACACCATCCCACTGACTTGACTAAAGCACCATTTTCTCCCCTCCTGGGAGAGCAGAGGAAGCTGGAGAGAACTCCACAGGTCCCTCCTGGAATAGTTTTAAAACAAAAGGCAGAGCTGAGGTGTCCTCTGACTGCAGGCAGCTTTAATTCCTGCCGGGGTTTCTCTGTGAAGCTGCTCTGAGATGTTTGCTCTCAGCTCACATCGTTTTTCCTGAGCCTTGCAGACTCCAGGCCAAGGAGAAGCTTTCTTTAGAGTTGTACTGATGTGTCTCCCCCACAAAATCCAGCTGTGCTGCCATGCCCAGAACAGCTGGGGGCAGGTGTCACACCTCAGCCCCTCCACCTGCCCAAAGTGTGTCTGCACTCCTGTGACTGGCAGGGCTCAGAGGGGACACTTTATAAAACTCCATCTCCAGAGTTTTATTCAAAAGCCAGTGTGCAAACAGCAATACAAAAATCAAAATCTAGCACTCTCCACCCATTTCAGATCTTTCCTGCCCCCAAACACATCAGACTGAGAGCCCAGACACCCCAAAGTGAAGCTCAGAGCAGACAAGCCCCCTCTCTCCCCTGAAATAAAACTTCACCACTAAGGCACAGCTTACCCAGAGTCACCACCTGTGTGTCAAATGCTCTCCAGAGCAGACCAGTACTTTTAAATCTACCACAAACACAAACCATTCTGCTCAGACCTCAGATGACACAGAACTAAAGCACAGGCAGTGCACTCAAGACTTAAGAACAGAAGTGAAGATATTTTCTCCCTTTTAATTCTCCTTAACCGGTACCTTCACTGCTATTTTTGAATCCTTGTTATCCTTCCACCACCCTGTGAAAAACCAAAAATCAATGCTTTCATAAAGGCCACTGCACATGCACCAGGACAGAACACAGAACTCTGTCATTTCCGAAGACACTCTCACGAGTTACTGAGAGGGTGATATTTCTAGACTAATATTCATTAACAATCAGAATTACATCATCCTACAGCAGAGCTGAGCAGACAAGAAAGAGTTTCTGCAGAACTGCACAGCTTTTATTTCTCTCCTGATACAGTTGAAGGACAGGGCAAGGGAAACAAAACATCAAGGCAGAAGATTAAAAATTCAAAGCATCTAAAAGACAATCTTCTCCATTTTAACCAAAATACAGATTAGCCTTTTTCCTGTTTGAATGGCAGTAATTGCCATAATGGCACTTCTACAACTCTATCCATTCTATTTCTGTTCCCTCACACTCTTTATTCAAAAGAATTTCACAGTTGAAATCAAAGTTTCTAGGAAGTAGGAGTTTTTTCTCCTTTGCTTGTCTTACCCCTGTATGTACACAGCAGTTTTAGAGTGCCAAGTCCTCAACTTGTCTCCTGAAGGAGGCTGATTCTGCACTCAGACTGGAAAGTGCATCCACAAATCTGGACACAGATGTTGTCAAACAGATTGTATTAACCAATGGGTTTTATGCATTTCATTGATTAAAATGTCAAATGAGTAAAGGTCTAAGGAAAAAGAATTCCCTAATAACCATCCTTAATGGTCTCTCAGTGCAGGAAAGGTATTGGGAGGCTGGGGACAGAGAAGGGAATGAGCTGGGGCAGGGTCTGGAGGCTCAGGAGCAGCTGAGGGAGCTGGGAAAGGGGCTCAGCCTGGAGAAAAGGAGGCTCAGGAGGGACCTTCTGGCTCTGCACAACTCCAGAAAGGAGGGGACAGCCGGGGGATCGGGCTCTGCTCCCAGGGAACAGGGACAGGAGAAGAGGGCACGGCTTCAGGCTGTGCCAGGGGAGGCTCAGGTTGGGTATCAGCAAATGTTTTATCACTGAAAGGTTGCAGAACATTGGAACAGGTTGTCCAGGGCAGGTGTGGAATCACCATCCCTGGAAGTGTCCAAAATCATGTGGATGTGGCCCCGGGGGACATGGTGTGGTGGTGACCATGCTGATGCTGCACTGACAGTGGGCCTCAATCTTAAAGGTATTTTCAAACCTTAAGGACTCTGTGATTAATGAACAGGCACCTCCACATCCTTGAAAGTTTAAAATTTACTCCACAAATGTCTTCTACAGCTGGGGCCAGGTATCCACAATGCCCAACAACCCCCCTCAGTGCTGCAGGCAGGGGCCAACATCACCCCACTCCCAGGCCAGTGCTCCCACTGCCAAATCTGAGCTGCCTCTGACACTCACCTGACCCCCAGAACAGCACTAAAAACAACCTCAGCAGCAGAATTTGTACCTGACATATGACACAGCCAACCTGGGTTACCTTACAACTGGATATTGGCTATGGATGGAGTGGCAGGGTACTGGGAGGGAGGGGAAAACCTCCTCATGTAGCTGTGAAACTCTACCTAAGGACACTCCCCAGTTCCTTAGTGAGATGCTCTAAAAGGCCATTAAGTGACAGAGGGGATGAGCCTTCCAGAAAAGAGCTGCATTTTAAAAAGTTTCCTCAAGAGAATTAGCACTTAGGAAAGAAAAAAGATGGATTGAGCACAACAGGGTTTGTATAAAAGTATCAGTTCCTCTGGGAGATGCTCTTATAAAGTGCTCTCTGTATGAAAAGAAATAAGTGATTGTACCAAACTCTGCAGAAAGTGGAAGTGCTTCAGCTGAGACCTAGAAAAAGTCTGAGAGAAAACACCATTAATGTGATGATCCTCAGATTCCTACTGATACAGGGAACACTGCCACACTCACACCTTTTGAAGACTAAAGAACTGAAAATAATAAAGGAAAAAGTACTGGTTACAGCAAGAGAAAGGCTCTTCCATTGCCTAGACCTCACTGCCAACACAGCAGCCACTGCCAGGGCACTGCCAGAGCACTGCCAGGACACTGCCAGGACACTGCCAGGACACTGCCAGGGCACTCACTGCCAGAGCACTGCCAGAGCACTGCCAGGACACTGCCAGGACACTGCCAGGACACTGCCAGGACACTGCCAGGTCCACACTGGGGAGTTTGGTTACCATGACACTTCTCCAGATGTTGCTTCTGTCAGAGCTGGACTGAGAGAGCAGCCCCTGGAGCACCTGGCTGTACCATCCCACCCGAGGCTGGATTTCCATAGCAAGGAGGCAGAACTGACACCTCCTCAAAGACAAACTGGAAATGCTGAGAAGTAACTGAACAAAAAGTGTTGGGCAGAGGTTTTTTTCCCCTGACAAAAGCGGGTTCATACCTTGTGTTATGGTTTGGAGTTGTCTGTGAATTGAGGACACAAAACTGGCTGATTCTGCTACTGTGAAATGACATTTATGTGAATAAAATTAAACTTGATTAAGTTTCTACAGCCATCACTGACTAATTCTGTGCATGTGCAGAGAAGCTGCAGAGGGAGTTACTCTCTTAAGCATTCAGTTACCTCAATTAACAACCACTTCACTTTCAATATAAAAAACATTCTGAGCTCCAAGTTCAATTCAGATGTTGTATTTGAGCGAAGAGCACAATTCCTGCCTGGGCATCACTTCACACTGGATTATGACCTTGACCTGCTTTTAAAGACAAACATCAACTTCACCTCAACTGAAACACTGCACCTGCAGATCACGTTTGCATCGAAGGAAAAAGGGAAAGAACCCACCCAAGGTAAATAGAACTGACATTTTCAAAATGCATTTTTATCAACTTTTCATTGCTTCACTTGATGCATTAAATACTTTAATGGAAATGTACTTACTGCTCTTTTTCTGGAACAACCTGTAATCCAAGGCACAGTAAGGTTTCCTGAAATCTGCAGAAGGGAAGGAGAAAATAAAACAGAAAACAAGAGCAGCTTAGGTTGCTGTGAGAGCCAAGACTGAGATTTCAGCATTCAATTCTGACACCAATGTCTGTAAACAGGTTAAGATTCAAAACCAAAGTCACAGTCACCTTTACTGCCAAGAATAAAACACTGTTTCTTTGGGTGAGGGCAAGATAACACAGTGACAACTTGGGTGTTTCTGTACTTTTGGTACCCCCCAAAACTTGTATTTCACAACAGCAGTTTGCCTTTCCATCTGTCCCAACCTGGCAGGATGAGCAGACTGGAGTCAGACAAGGGCTGAGGACTGAGCTGCCCTCACATCTTTTTCAATTACATCACTTCAACTTCCAGAAAAAATGCTCTTGTGTTTGTCACTGAGTTGTCCAATGTCTGATGTAAAAGATTTGAGTGAAAGCAGAAAAATTAGGGATATCAGGATAGAGAAGGAAGGGGAAGGGGTGTGAAGGCAAAGGAGAGCTGCTTCCATTCCTATTGCTTCTCCATTATTCCCAGAGGTCAGACTTTATTAAATAAAAATCTCAGTGTGTTTTCCCTGACCATCTGAGGTGTGTCACAGCCTGGAATAGTTTAGGCTTATTTAAGATTCCATGTTCATCTTCTGCTGCAGACAAGCAATGCTTGAGAGACTGAACACAGCTCAGGCAAGATCAATCACCTCAAGTCATTACACACATGTATGTGAGGAAAAAACCTGTTCACTTCTGCTCACTGAACCAAACTGCACTGAGAGTTTCTGCATTTGCCAAGTGATGGCTCTTGCAGCATGAGCACAACAAGGACAGCAGCCCTGGTACAGGTACCTGATCTACAAGCACGTAAAACACTTCATTCTTCAAGCTTTAACTGGAAGCACTTGGAGCTCCCCCAAGGTCAGACACTTTGTCATTACAGCACAAAGAGGGTTGAGAGGGGCTGGAAGGGAGCACCTCCTGTTCCAAGGGCCAGCCTGCATCAGGGTTTGGGCCAAAAATATTAATTTTTTTCACTGCACAGACACATCTTAGAAATTCTGTAGAGTTATGTCTGTTTCAACCCTCTATCCCACACAACAGCTTCACACCACAGAATCCACTGCAAAGGCACCACTAATTTAATTGGGGCCACAAAGAAGAAAAGTGCTTTTCTATGGGAATTAAGCAAAATCTACCTGGCAGAGCATTAAGGATTGCTGGAAAGACAAATGCACACAGCTCTGACAGGGATGAGGCCAAAACCAGCCCAGTTCATCTCAAGAGAAGTCCCTGAAAGACAACATGCATGGCACAGCTCTGCGCTGCCTTTGTCAAACAGGCACGAGGGCTGGGCTTGGGAACAGAGTAAATAAAAATCCATAAATTCTCAACAGTGTTCTTGTCCCTTAGGGTTGGGGGAAGAAACCAAGCCTAAATCCCAATTCAGCCTGGACGACAGCACAGATAACCTCTCCACTTCAACACACTCAAAGTCAAACTAAGACAAGCAAGTAGGCTGAAGAATTTGTTTACTGAAACTGCTCAGGCATTAAAATTGATCACTTAATTAAATTTAGTCTTAAGTTACACTAACATGAATTTGATTAATTGAACCAGTAAGGAAGCTATAACTAATTGCTAATTAGATACCCCACCAATATATGACAGTAATTACTTCATCAAAACATGAATCACACAGTCCTGACTTTGAAGAAGCATCTGCTTGGATGTTCAACTACTCCAATAATCATTTAGCTCAGGTTTAATCTATTTTTAAATTCAAGAAGATTTCCCCAAGTTTAAGGATTTTCATCTCTGTGCTGATGGATAAATTAGCTAAACATGGGCAATAAAATTAACATAAAGTGACTACAAAAAAAGGAAGTGTCATCCTGTACAAGACTAAAAGGATTCAAGATAGCACCTTAGAAAGTCTCTAATACCCAGAAGTGTCACCTCAGGGGTTCACAGGGTGCATGTTCACAGCAGTAAGAGAATTAACAACATCCTGCTCAGCTTTTCCAAGGTTTAAAACTCTTCTGGAATGACAAGGGATATGAGAGGAAACAAAAGCTCCCTCCATCCACATGCCAAATCCAAAGAACAGGGTGTCTGAGACAGGCAGGGAGGTCAGCTGGGGTACAGATGAATTCCTCACTCATCAAAAAACCAGGTATGTTGTTACAAGAAAGAAAAAAAAAATCCAAAACAAAGTTCCAGAGGTCTTATTCTGATCCATAAAACACCACAAGGACAGATTAAAATGTCATCTACCATGCACTGTTCTAGCTCTTCAAAAAGACTCAGTTCCTACGCCATAAAACCCCAAAACAAAGTTATTCTGAATTTCATTTTAAAAAAAATTGTAATAGAAGAAATCAATCTCTCTAATGCTTTTTCAAGAGTGAAATAAAGCACCATGAGCACACAGCTGATGGAGGCATAATGGTTTTACTTCATGAAACTTAAAAAAATGTCCTTAATCATAAGCACTTTTACCAACCCTTTACTGAACTTATCTCCACAGCTTTTCTTCTCCTATGAAATGGGGATGGCAAAAGTAAACAGCATTTCAGGAATTCTATAACCAAGTAAGAAAAGTAACAGCGAACACTGAGAGACTGTGTGAGAGTAAAGGAGAGGCCAACTCATCTGATGGGCCATCTACTCCCTGAATTTACTCTCTGTTCATCAAACCTCTGGTTTACCCAGGAAAGCAATAATTCAGGTAAAAAGTGGCACTGGCTTGGACTCAGAAGCTTTCTCTCAAATGGTCACTTGATATAGGAACAAGTAAGGAAAAAAAGAAAAGAAAAACAAACAAAAAAAAAAGGTAAAAAAAACGTGACTCACAAAGTCTTGTTCTTTATCCTGGTAAGCAAAGCAGGAAAAGCTGATATGCTGTCAACATGGTTTATTTTCAGGATAAAACAAAAAAGACAATAACAGGCAAATGCATGCAGGTGACACACACAGAATCATATCCTGTCAGCCTTAAAAGACTTTCACCTCAGAGTCCCCAGGCTATGTCATGCCAGATGGTGCAAAAATCCACAAAAAATACCAGTTTGGATGTTTCCTGCACAAGTATCTCTCCCCTTGTAATATCAAAACCTAAAAAAATGTGTCAAGTGTTGCAGTTTCTCCTAAACATCTTTTACTTCTTCAGTTATCTGCATTTAATTTCCCCTCAGTATCACTAAAGGGGTTTTAGTACAGGAAGAGGAATAAAGGGATTGAATATAAAACTGATTATTTGAATTAGATGCTGTGGGAAAGGAAGCTGAGTTAACTCCCTGACAGGGGATCCTAATCCCTGACAGAGCACAGGTCCAGAGAGTGCCACCTGCACAGGGGGTACAGGAATCCAAGCTGACATTAATGGGGTGAGCAAATGCACAAAACCCTGTCTTGCGCCACGTGTGATGTGTGGGAACACCCAGGGAATGGCCAGGGCATGTGCTGGAAAGCCAGGCTTAAGCAACCACCAGCTCGTAGGTATGACCCTTCTGCAGCCAAAATTTAGCCATGGAATCCCTGAAATCCTCACTGATCTTCAATATTTGGCTACCAGGGGCTCAGCTGGACAGCTGGATAGCAAAAGTGCTACCACGCTGCAGTGCTGCCTGCACTGAGTTTGAGAAGGAATTACCTCCACTGAAGGGCAAAAAAAGCAGCACAGACTGCAGAAAGGTGAACCTATTGCTTAATAGCTACCAACTTTGAAAGGAAACAGCATTATCTACAACCTCAGCTTTGAGGTTTGAAGGCAGAGATAAACTGATGGATTACCTGGTAATTATTTTGGTTTTGTGACAGCTTCAGTTGACTTGAAGATGTAAAATGAGGAGAAAAGGTACTTCTGGCCGCGTTGGAAGTGTTATAAATCGTGCTGGATGTTGTGTGCAATGAGGTCCGTGCAGGCAGGTGGAACTCTCTGCTGTGGTAGAGGAGATTGTCAGGCACATCCCTGGCACTGCCCAGCTGTGCCCCACAGCCCCCACTGCGGCCCGGCCCGGCCGCGCTTTGGTTGTCCCAGCGGCCGGAGCCGCTGCCCTCACAGTATCTGGAGCAGCTCTGGATCTGCGCTCCCATGGAGGCCAGCTCCTCCTCGCGGGCGTACTCGTCATCCACGTCGCCCGTCTCCATCGCGATGGACAGGCAGCTGCCCTCCAGGGAGGGATGTTTCTGCGTCGTGCTCCCCGCCACCAGCCGCTGGGGCTGGTCCGTGACCGCCAGCGAGAACACCTCGCGGATCTCCAGGTTCTGGGTGCCGCACGCGGGGTCCCTGGGGTGAGCCCTCGGCCCGGGGGGCACGTGTGATGCCAGGGCCGCATGCTCGGGTTTGTGCGAGCGCTGGCACCCCAAGGGCTCGGCCTTGCAGGGCCTGTGGCAAATCATGGGTTTCTGAGGTAACACCAGCTCCGCCGTCTGCACCGAGGAGCTGCCGTAGCTTTTCTTCGTGTGGCTGTAGATGGAGTTTGCAGAGTTGAGCACGCTCGTTTGCCTGGCTAGAATAATGGTCTTTTCCCCCACTAAGAGGGAAGCATTTTTACAGTGGGGTATTTGCCGTCCCAGGGGGATGTGCTGCTGCTGGAAGTCTGCGTCGCTCCTGCCCGGGAGCCGTGGGATGGAGGTTTTGTGCAGCTCCGCCACAGAGGCGTTCGTGTACTTGGCGGTTCCGGGCCGTCCCGAAGAGCTGGCAGAGCTGTAGATACCAGTCACTATCACGTCGTTGTTAGAAGAGGTCCAAGAGGATTGCTGGCTTTGGGATCGAGCAATATTTACCACATTTCTCACTGCTGCCTCCGGGGGCATGGACGGAGTGGCAGGGGCAGTCCCTGGGGGAATGCCCCCAGATTCCGTGGCGATCTTGCTGCTCATCTTCCGCCGCTTGTTGCCAACCCACGTCTGCGAACGACGACAGCAACGACAACAAACACAAAACAAGGCGTCAAGGAGGCAGAAAAAATTAGCAATTCCATTTTTAAGCAGATCTGGTGACATGTTAAGTGTTTGAGTTGAGACCTAAGTTTAAAAATATGTAAATATTTGTAAATATTGTGAACAAGATGGGGTAGAAATCCAGGCCTCTCCTCCTTGGGATCCACGACTCATACACAGGACAACCCCAGCCTCAATTCCAAAGCCCCATCTCCTCAAAAATCCTGAGACTCTCGTGCCTCCTGTCTTGAAGTTACCCTCGAGATTTATTTCATTGGCAGCACTGTGACTAATTTCCTACAGGAAAACAAACATCCCTGCCATACACAATTCCATTCTACTAATTTTTTTTGTCAAATTTTACGAAATGTCAAATTTGAGGCACAATTTGTAACATGCAGTAAAATGTCAGTTACTGGTCAGCTTTGCCTCTGAGAGTCTCAGTCTCCTGACCAATTGTATTTAGGGAATTCATGTGTCTATTACAATCCTATCTGCAAGTGCCAGCTGCAACATCATTTTGCAAAGAACTAATCGCTCTCCAAGAGTTTTATAGGGAAAAAAAGAAAAAAGGTTAAAAAAGGGGGCATTAGGAGAAGCAGAAATGAGGGGTGTAAAGACAAAGGTGAGATCATGCTAAAATAGGACAAATGCAGGACAAACACTGGATCTGTTTCCATTACACTTCCTAAGTAAGAAGTAGTTTAAGTGCAGCAAATCAGGGCTCAGAAAGGGAAGAAATCAGAAGGAATGATACTTGAGTGCAGGAAGGGAAATGGAGAGGGAAAGGAAACACGAAGACGGAGAGAACTGCAAGGAGAGGGGAGCTGGGCTGCCTCCTCTAGGACATGCAATCAGCACAAAAATAGCAAACCAGGCCCGGCTGCACCATCAGCATCCAGATTCCTGTTACAACTGCCCCAGGAGCCTGAATCCCTGGCTGACTTTCACAGCTTCTACCACCTCGAGCTGAGAAAGTAACTTCTAATGTTTCCAGAGTGTTCTGAGGGAGGGGGATCCAGGTAAGAATTTGGATTTGGGCTGTTATTGTCAATGTGCCTCTGTTAAACCAAATAAAAACCAACCTAGACTTGTCCCACTTGCTCCTCAGTGTCCAGTGTCACAGCAGCTCCTGGGAGCTCCACTACCCTTTGTTATTTTTCCATCTAATGCCTCAGGATTTCTATTTCTGCTCTCGGATAACAGCCATTTTGTTGTCTAGTGTTTCACAAAGGGATTATTATTTCCCTTCCCATGGAATTCATAGACTCTGGAAGAGCTCCTGTTAGCACTGGGACATTCTTGTTTTATAGGAAAAGAATGTCCTCACTGTAAATAACCACAAGGGAGCACAATATTTATGACTGCAATGTGGAATACAAGTGTGACAGAGTGCATCAAAAGAAATAGTTCCACAATTGTTTGCCCCAAATATATTAATTTATAGAAACTTATTTAGCTTAAAAATAGTTTATTGATAACGTGACCTTGCTTTGATACATTATACAAAGTTTCTATAGGGCAAATCAACTCATAATTTTGTGAATAATAATTTAAAAAATCCCAACAGAAGACAAAGAACAAAAACGACTCCTTGTGCAACCCAGGCCCCTGCTAAATTCAACAGTCATGTGAAGTTATTTCAGTGAAAACAAACTGTAAATAGGCTCCCTGGGTAAAAATGAATGTCACACACACACACAGAAGTCTGATTTAAGACAAGGATAAAGTTAGAGACTCTGGACCTCTCTATATCTTATGTAAAGCAATGAATGTGTATGCTTAACAAATTTGGAAGGCCTCAGTACTTACCCTGACCACGCTGAAATCCAGTTTAGTTTCTTGTGCACACTGTAATATGAGCTGAAAGCAATTTTTACTTTGATTTGTCATTCCATTTTCATAGTAACGCTGTAATATCCTTTGTTGTTCTACAGTAAATACAGAACGCAGATTCATCTGAAAGGAAAAGGAGATACTCTGAAAGCTGGAATGGAAACTGTAACACTTGCAGGATGCACAGGCTCTCATTTGTGCGTGTGGTAACACTGAGGATTGACATGTTTTCTCTACAGAATCTTTTACCAACACTCTTCCTGACTTTCCAAGAAAGCCTCTTGCAATCAGCCTTGTGACAGACTCAAGCTGAACAGGTGAACTGGATGTTTGGAACAACAGTGACTGCTTTTCATAAATAAATAAATATTCCAAGATATTGCTAAGTTCATGAGGTTCTAGTTTGAAAGTAAAAGCTTCTCCCTTAAAAATATAAATGAAATAAAGGCATTGGGCAAAACAGAGAAATATCAGCAGCTCTGATATCAGCAGGTCTGTTGCCCATCCCTAACAAAAAATAAATAAATCTGGTGTTCTGGCAATCTGGTATAAAATCAAGGTGACTGTTTGACACGAGTCAAGTTTCCACTGTCTCCAACTTCAGCAATTCCTGTACTCCACAAGAGCCAGTCCTTCTGCTGTGTCAGTACTGGCACTTCCCATTGCAAAGTCACAAGGACCGAGGACCAAAGACCAATTTGGGGGAAAATCCCCAAGGAAGGGCTTTGGGCAGCCCTGGCCCTGCCCACCCAGTTTAACAAACACTCCAGTTTACCAGAGCAGGGACACCCATGTCCCAGGCTGAGAAAGGTTCTGCTGCTGTGACACCCCCTGAAGGCTGGAAATCTGAATTTTTAAGAACATGTAAGAGTTATTTTCCTGGGATATAACCAGCGCTGGCTTTGGGACTTTGGGATGTGTTCCTGCTCCTTAGCTTTGTCTAAAGTGGTGCTCAGGAATTCAGCCAGGATAAGAGCCCCAGGTTCCTCCTGAGTCAGCAGCAACTCCTCAGCTCAGTTCCCAGCACCGGGTCCCCCCGAGCTTCACTGTGAGGACTCACCTCACAGGGAGTGCTGGCCTGGACAGGGCAGCACTTTGAGGAACACATTAAACCAGACATTGCCATGATAAGTGTGAAAATTCATGCCCTGGATTGGGAAAGGCAAACATTACTGCCAATATTATCAATATTACCAAACACACAATAGAGTCCTAACGGCAAACTGAAGTTTGATGCTCCTGTTACACAATCTACAAAGGCAGAGAAGGTAATCCTCTGAGCAGACACCAGAAAAGAGCCCCATCATCACAGATTTTCAAGACAGGACCTTTTTTGTGTTGAGACAATGCAAGTGCCAGCCAGGAACAACTTGCATCCAACTTGGTGCCTTGGGAAGCAAAAACATCACCAGCCACAAGTTATTTTAATGCAGTAGATTCACCACAATACAGAATTAACCAAAGGCAAGAAACCTGCCATCATCCAGTAGGAAAATAAAAGGGATGAGGGAACCCTTTGTAGCCAAGCATTTTTGAAAATTCTGAATGGAAAGGAGGTGATCTACCTAATCTTTACACAAGAGCTGCTTCTAATACAAAGTAAATAAAATTATTAAGGGCTCAAAAGCATAAGAAGACATCCAACTGGTTTCACTTTATTCTCCAAGATGATTATACAATGTAATGGTAATGGATGTTAAGAGTTCAACAGGCCTGTATGAAGAAGGAGATTGATATCTAGAATTTGGAGTAAACTGCTTGTAGGCCAGAGCTTTGACTTCAGAGTTTACTTTCCTTTCTATGTCAACAGGCAATAGAAAAATCAGTAACTACCAATTTGTAAAAATTACTGTTTCTTTGAAATAACATTAAGATAAAATAGAAGATTAATTTTCAATCGCATGTTTTACCTCTGTTCTCAACTCTTATTTACCCTCTCAATCCAGTGCATTATTAAATTCAGCACCAACTTCATTACAAGACAGGTTTGCCCAAGTTCTGCCTCCCTCAGAACATTTATTCAGTCACAGCCAGAGCTGGGCAAAGGGGACTCTTGTTCTGAATAATCTACTCCTTAAAGAAATTTATAGCAAGTAACAGAAGAGACAATTATTAGTCCATTAACAAATCAATAAAGTTCATAATAATCTACTTTGTCATGCTGAGAACTGCCTTCAGATCTCCCAAGTGGATACACAACGATGAAGCCACCGACTGATTTACATCACTTTGAAGGAACATAGAAGAGTTAATTTTGTGATCCTTTTTCCTCCTGAACGATTGGCAGGACCCAGCTTCCACTCCTGCCTACTCTTCTTCCAGAACCAGCGCTCCTGTTTTATTTAGTGGAGCTCAGTTCCCACAAATGAACCCATCAGAACTAGTTCTGAAACTTCCATCTTCCCAAATCCAGCTGATGTCATTCCAAAGCTCCAGTGTTTCCATACTCAGGCTCATCACATCATGCTCTCCACACAGTTCACCAACTGCAGTGAAAACTCTTCCAATAGCAAGATAAATTTTTAAAGCCAGACCTGATGACCTGTGAGGGAAGACCTGTGTCAGGTTCTTGACATATTTTTTAATTATGTGGATTTCTGTATCCAAGGTCACTTCTGTGTTAAAATACTTTCATTGCTTTGACATCTGTAATTTAGATAAAAATAGGGTGGAGCCTTTTGATTAAATCACTTGAACTTCAGATAAACCCTTGAGCATTGCATGACAGGCTTGGCCCAGCTAAGCTCAGGAGAGGTCATGCTTTGCTTTAATAACTCATTTTTGCAGTGCATTTTAATCACTCCTGAACTACACCTGCCAATCAAAGTCCTGGTAAGATTCTTTGGCAGCCTCTGCCTTAAATTCAGTAAAGCAGAGCTCAAAGGATCCCTGCAGAGACCATTAGAAACTGACTTAAATAAACAGATTACAGGATCCTCCAGCCAGAGTTACGAACTGAGTCATAACCTCAACTTACATTCCAACACCTAAAACTTCAAACAAGCAGGTGAGATTTATTAAAGCTTTTTGTGTCTTGGATATAACAAATCCTCAGTCAACAGACAGTCCTGCACCATTTTCCACCAATTTCATACCAGTGTGAAGGACACCTGGCAATATTCTATCTCTGGCAGGTTCAAAGCTCTTGGACACTATGTCACTTGTAAAATGCAGATGGAAATCAGTTTGCCATCAGCAGTTCTTAAGGGCTGATTCTGAATATCTAAAGCAGTATCCTGTGTTGAATAAACCAATTGAGAGATGTTTGGGAGCTCCCCTAGAAAACCACAGAGTCCAGAGTCATCCCATTAATCCAGGAAGAGCTGCCTCTGCATATCTCACCTGCACAGGCAGCAAGTTCTGCTCACTTCCTTTGCCTGTCACACCTGGGAATTCACCTACAGTGAGTATTCACACAGCTGTAAGAACATAGTGCTACTGTCTCTGAGACAAATTAATTCAGGATACATTCATCAAAGGATTATGCTGATTATTTTTTTGGGAAGTATTACATGTTTAGCATCAGTTTTCATAATTAGAACAAGATATGAACTCTTACATTTTTTTTTTAACACAGGAAGTAACTTGCAAAGTGCTGAAATTACTGAACATTGGGGCAGCCACATCAGCATGAAGGAAATCAGCAGGTCACACACCTTCATCACAGACTATTATTCAAAACAACCTCAGCATCTTCCAAGGAAATAAACTCCTTTTCCCAATTTGTGCACCTACAGAGCACTCCATTCTCTTCAGGATTTCTCACCTTTGTCTCGAACCTCAGAATCCACATGGATTTTTATTATAATTTCATTTTGATCTTGACTTGCCAAGCTTAGCAAACATGCATGTGAGCTTTTGGGAAGCCAGGTGTCCAGCTGGTTGGCAACACATTGGCACTGAAAAGAGAGTTTGTTACAGAAAAGAACTCTGTGAAATTTAATAAAAATCAGGTAAAGCATTATGCAAACAAATTTCATTAATGTAGTACGTTGAATTTTCACTTTATTAAAAGACAGAGGTGGCAAAGCTGTATTTAAGGATTCAACATCCGCCTGCTCTAATAAAATAAAGCAGCCTTGGCCAAGTGTGTTGGTGTCTCTGGCAGTCCAAAGAATAACCTATGGCAGCTGAAAATGCAGGTTTTTCAAGATTTCCCTTGCCCCTGCTACTTGTCCTAGGCCAACCAACACTGGTGACTCTCCACTCCTGTGGAGCCTGCTGTGAACCCAACAATATAAAGATGTTTTCACTGCCTTTCTGAACTGAACACTAATTTAAAAATCTGCTCATTGTGAGATCCCACTGCTGTGTCATGGTTTGGGGGGTGTAAATGGAGTGCAAGTGCTGTCAGGCACTGGGAGATCCCAGGGAGGTGACTGACAAGGACAAAGATGGGAGCTCCATGGCTTTCAGTTTGTCCCAAGGACAATTCCATGGACACCCTGAGACCCTGAGACACTGGGGTTGTTCTTACAGCTGAACTTTTCCAGGCCTCCTTAGTGGTGTGAGAAACTTCTCCCCAGTATTTCCCTTTCATCCCTTCTCCAGGAAGAGCGAGAATGAGGAGAGAGAGAGAGCAGGAGGACCTCCAGCACAGTTTGCTCCCGAAGCCGTGGTTTGCCTCATGGAACAGGTACTCAGTGCACGATCCCACAGTGTCTGCTGCAAATCCAGCCCTTGCACCCCAGTGACTTCATCCAACATTCCAAAACCAGGAATCTCTCCAGGGAGACCTGGTGAAGCCAGTTCATTCCTTTTTAGCAACTAATGGAAACAACTCGATGTCAAGGAGTGCCACAAAACAAAGAACAACTATAAAGAAATGGGAAAATAATGTAATCAAATAATTCAGGAGTTACTGAGCTGTTCTGCAATTACTTGAGAGATCTGGGGGCAAAAATAAAGAAAAAATAAAGGAGAAGCATAAGAAGGAAAAATAATTTATGCCTACAATGTACAGCAGTATGATCTTAGTCCCCAAAAGTCCTTAAATATTTGGATTGCTGAATCAAGTAAACATTTAAAAGGTAAATCTTTAATAGTAATTAATTTGAAAAATAGGAAACAAACCCATAATTGTACTCACTTCAAACAGCAACAGAAACTAGTCTTGGATGTCAAATAAATAATAAATAAATCAATTAACTCAAGAGTACAAGCCACAAGGAAATAACTAAGTATAAAAATATTTATGGTATAACACATTCTAAAACTGTCAGGGATTAACACAGAGAGATAAAAGGGAACAATCAGTTTCTGAGAATTTTCTTTTTTAACTTCAGCTCCAAAAAGGCATTTGCCTAGAAAAAAGTCACCTTACAAAGACTATTTCTGTTCTAGTCTCTCCATCTGTAAGAGGTACAAGAAAATCAGCACACTCACAATTTATCTTTTTTTTTGTTCCCTCCACAGATCTCCAGTGGCAAAAAATAGCAAGTCTTAGTGCCAATATAAATCTGAGACAAAACTGTGGTAAGAAAACTACCATAGACATAAATAAAACAAGACTGCAGTAGTGACACTATTCCTCCAGCTTTAGAAACTTGAACTGAAATAATCTCATTCACTTTCCACGGCTGCCAAAAACTCACCATTTCTTGCACATCCCAAATGGAAAGAAAACAACCAACTAACAAACTAACAAACCCCCCAGCTTACACGCTCAAGCAACAACCTTTAATAATCTGAATTTGTAGGTTGGTGCCTCTTTCCTACACAGGCCAAACCAGTTACAACCACTCACTCCAAGTGCAGTAGATGAGGCTGATGCTTGGGTGAGTGTAATGTACAGACCAGCTTGTAAAACTACTTTTAAATATCCGTGACTTGCAGCATAATTGCCTTCCTCTCCACTAAGTACAGCATTTGTAGGATTGCATTACAGCCCTACCTATAAAATGCAGCCCTTTATTAGGGACAAATTAGACAGCCCTCAGTAACTTAATAACATAATAACCCATGACCACAACACTGCAGGTTTATGCATCCCATCCTGCTTTATTAATGCAAATGAGACTCCTGACTGCAGCTGGATTAGCCACGTGTTTTAAATAAAGCATGTACGTGTTTTGTAAGATCTGTGTCTTACAAAAAGGGAAGAAACATTAAAATGCAGTGTTACTCTGAATATGTGAGCTGCTTCAGGGCTCCAGCTGGGAGGACACAGCTAGGTGAGTTATGTGTGATCCCAAAGAATGAGAATCCCCAGGCTAAGAGGGCAGGGGACAGGGTTGGGGACTGTAGGGGCAGGCGAGTGCCAACACAAGCACTTCCAGGGGTGAGACCTCCAGAACTGCACAGCCAAGGACACGTCCTCAAACACCTGAGGGATAAAAGCGTGGAAGCACAAGGTCCCCTGTCCAACCATCATGACTGGCATGATACCATGGAATCACAGAGGGGTTTGGGTTGGAAGGGACCTTAAAGTTCATCTTCTTCCACACCCCTGCCAACGTGAGTACACTGAGGGGTGAGGCAACCCGACACAAGGGTACACATTCTTAAGCTTTGCCAAGGTAGGTTTAGGTTGGACATTAGGAAAAAATCCTTCATGGAACGGGTGATAAGACATTGGAATGAGCTGGCCAGGGAGGTTTGGAGTGCCCATTCCTGGTTGTCTAAGGAAGGCCTGGACGTGGCACTCAGTGCTCTGGGCTGGGTGACAAGGTGGGCATTGGGCCCAGGCTGGACTCGGTGACCTCAGAGGTCTTTCCCAGCCTCAGGGATGCTGGGATCCTGTGACTGAGGCACCGGGGAATGAGGAAATCAGCAATGACAGGACCTGTGCCACGGAAGGTTTAGGATCGACATTATAAACAATTTCTCCACAGAAAGGGTGGACAGACATTAGAAGGGTCTGCCCAGGGAGGGGGTAGAGTGCCCGTCCCTGAAGTGTTTAAAGTAAGGCTGGACGTGGCACTGAGTGCCGTGGTTCAGCTCGGTGACAGGCGGTGCAGGGGACCCCGGCGTGTTTCTGAGGCTCTGTGCCCGTCACGTTTCTGCGCCCGAGATGTTTCTGTAACCGAGATGTTTCTGTGCTCGAGATGTTTCTGTGCCTGTCACTGAAGCACCCGTGGCTGAGGGGCCGCTGCCGGCCGGGCGCGCACGCGCAGAGCGGTCCCGGCCGGCGCAGGCGCGCGGGCGCACGCCCGGCGCGCGCGGAGCGGCTGCGCGCGCACGCGCACTTCCCCCGGCGGCTCCCG